TTAGCTGTGATTCTTGCACCTGAGGAAGTCATCTTGACTGCGATTCTTGCTTCTGAGGAAATCATCTTGAATATAATATCTGAGTCTGAGAAAATCATCTTTGTTGTGTCATGTGAGTCTGATCCATAGAATTTAAACTACTGGTGACTTCTAGACCAGAAAATCATCGTATTCAGGGGTAGTAAACACGCCAGCTTGTAGGTTGCCTTACGAGTAACCTTGTGGTACACTCCTTAGAAAATCATCGTACCCAAGGTTTGGTAACTCCCGCACCTTGTAAGGTCACACCTGCAAGTTCCCTTGAATACATTCTAGAAGTCTTCTTTTCTGAGTATGTTACACAAAATCATCGTGTTCAAGGTTCGGTCTGAGTTCGCACCTTGCTAGGCTGACTACAAGTTCCCTTGCGGGAATCGGCCGGTCAAAAGTACTTGTAGAGGTTTTAACAGTGGCGACACGAACATGGCCATCTTTCCCTGGATGAACTTAAGAACACGTCCTAACGGCCATTTAGTAGGAGGATACCTTTCATCAATAATTAGAACTAAGGCTCCTTGTTGGAGTTCAGGAAGCGTCTGATTCCATTTATAAGTACGTTGATAATATTGTAGGTACTTTTTTGTCCATTTTGACCAGAATTCGGAGGTCATTTTTTGTAGAAATTGCCATCGAGAAAGCCGAGGTGTTTTAATATCTTCCAAGGAAGGTTCAGGTACAATATTTATTTAGTTAGGGGACATAGTGGCCTCGAGTTTAACGTAGCTTCAACTTGGGTGAGAAAGGTACTCATTTCTTCATACGTGAGACGATGATCACCGATTACTCGTCGAAGATGGTGTTTAACAGATTTTACTCCAGATTCCCATTTTCCCCCAAAATGAGGAGCAGACGGGGGGTTAAATATCCATTGAGTACCATCGTTAGCTAAAAGTGTAGCTAATTTACCAAGTTGTTTTGAGGTCGTAGAAAAAAGGGCTTGAAGTTCTGCGTCAGCTCCTTTGAAATTGGTTCCACAGTCACTTCTAAGGGTTGCACAAATTCCGCGTCTGGATGTGAATCGCTTATAWGCTGCTATGAAGGCGTCAGTTGTATAATCAGTTACAACTTCTAAATGAATGGCTGAAGTCGATTCACAAACGAAGAGAACAATATATGCTTTATATTCACGAGCTGTGCGTCCTCGCCATGTTTTGAGGTGAATTGGTCCTGCATAATCTACTCCAGAATGCAAAAAAGGTCGAGACGGCGTGACACGATGAACCGGTAATTGACCCATAAGCTGTTGGCTCTTGATTTGTCGAAATCTTGCACATTTTACACATTTCCAAATTAAAGATTTGATTGAAGCTCTGCCTCCGATKATCCAAAATTCATTCATGATRTAAGATAAAGTTTTTTGAATTCCTCCATGAAGAGTTTTTTGATGAGCATATCTTATAACCATCTTAGTCAATGGTGAATCTCTAGGAAGAATGACCGGGTGCTTGGAATTGAAAGACAAACTAGATGATTCAAGTCTACCTCCTACACGGAGGAGACCTTGAGAGTCAAGAAATGGTGTTAAACGAACTAAAGGATTGGAATTTGATAGATGTTCCCCTCTTGATAATTGTCTAATTTCTTGACTGAAGGCTGCTTGTTGAGTTAGATGGATCCAGTGAAATTTGGCATCGTTCAACTCTTGGACAGTAATTGGTTCATTTGTAATATTTCCCTTTTTGTTTTGCAGTCTTAGGAGAAATCTTTTGCAAAGCGAAGTGATGCGAAGAAGTCGCATAAAATCGTGATACTTTAGAATCAAATTTCCGAATGATTCAGACATGTTTATAGTTGTAGTGTTCACTTTAATTGGATGTTCTTCTAGTTCGTCGTTCACTTCTAGGTTTGTTGAAGTAGTGGGCCATGTAGAAGAAGGTTGTTGGAGCCATTCTGGACCAACCCACCAGATATGATGTTTAGCTAGTTGGGTTGGGGTAAGTCCTCGTGTACCACAATCTGCAGGATTATCTTTTCCTGGTACATAATGCCATTTAGCTGTAGGGAGCGTTTCTTGAATTAAACAAACTCTATTATGAATAAATTCTTTCCACCGAGATGGATGAGCATTTATCCAAATATGTGTGATTGCTGAGTCTGTCCAAAGATGAACTGAAAGTTTATTTACTTCGAACTTTTGAAGGACATGATGAACTAATTTTGTAAGCATTACAGCGGCTGATAATTCTAATCGAGGAATCGTTAATCGTTTGATGGGAGCAACTTTAGTCTTTGAGCACAATAACATAGTATGAATTCTGTCATTTGAGTCTTTTGAGGTTACATAGATTACAGTGGCAAGAGCTTGCTGAGACGCATCACAGAACCCATGAATTTCACAGGGATTACTGTGGGACGTTTTTTAGCCAGCGAGGAATTGACATCAAGCTCATCTCTTGAAAACTTTGAATCAAATTTTTCCACTGAATTGAAAGTTCTGTAGGCAATGGGTCATCCCAGTCAAGCTGATTAGTCCAAAGTTGTTGAATGAAGATTTTTGCATTGATTATCACTGGTGATAGTAGTCCAAGTGGGTCAAAGAATTTAGCAATAGTTGAAAGAATAGTACGTTTAGTAATTTTCGAATAGATGGGAACATTCCATGTAAACTGGAATTCATCAGTGATTGGACTCCAATTCATGCCCAGTGCATGTACAACAGTATTTTTGTCGATGGTTACTGACGAAGCAAGAAGTTGATCAGAAGAAGATATTGATTGAAGAATTGAGGGATGATTGCTTATCCATTTTTTAAGAAGAAAACCGCCCGCCATGCAGAGTTGATTAACTTGTTTTACTGTTTCCTGTGCTTCTTGGATGGAGTCTGCACCACCAAAAATATCATCAACGTATCGTCCTTCAGTTAGAGCAGATATAGCTAGAGGATACTTTGATCCTTCGTCTTCAATTAGTTGTTGCACTGCTCGTAGTGCCAGAAAAGGAGCGCAAGCCATTCCATAGGTAACAGTTGTTAGTTGATATGTGATAAATTCACCGTTCTCATTCTTCCAAAGAATTCTTTGGAAATCCCAGTCATCAGGATGTACCTTGATCTGACGGTACATTTTCTCAATATCCGATATGAAAACATATTCAAAATAACGGAACCGTAAGAGTACATCTATTATTTCAGTCTGCAATTTAGGTCCAGTGTGAAGAATGTCGTTCAATGATAATCCGCTTGAAGTTTTGCAGGATGCATTGAAAACAACTCGTAGTTTGGTAGTTAAACTTTGATCTCGTATTACCCCATGGTGAGGTAAGTAATAGCAGTGCTTAGGTTCAGTAGAGGAATCAGTTACTATACTCATATGTTGTAAATTTTGATATTCTTCCATAAATTCATAGTAAGCAGCTCGCAATGACGAATCTTTTGAAAGTCGCTTAGATATGGTCAATAACATTCGATAAGCTGCGCTTTTTGATTCTCCAAGGGATTGAACTGGTTTTCTTAATGGCAATCTAACGATGTAACGGCCAGTATTATCTCGAGAATGTGTTGCTTTAAAATGATCTTCACACTCTTGGTCATTTGGTGTCAAAGAAGAGGTATTATTAACTGGAATTTCATCCAGTTGCCAGAATCTCTTTATGAGCTGGTAGAGTTCTTCATTAACAGACGTGTGAAAACACTGTTTTGAAGAGGTTGGAAGATTACCAGTGGGCCCGAAAAGAATCCATCCGAAAATAGTTGATTGAGCTGTAGGAGTTATACTTGGGCCTTTTCGTAGCCCTTCTAGGCATATTTGACCATAATAATCTGCTCCGATGATGTCAATTTTTCCCGGTTGATTATAGTTAGGATCTGCTAGTTGTAGCCTTTGAATATGACTCCAGTTAGATTTTGAAATGGGTTGAATCCACGCTGTTAGTTTGGGAAAAATGTGAGCTTGTAAAATGACCTGTTGAGAAAAATCAAAGTGTGGTCGTAGAATAACTGTGACGAGACCCTGAGTTCTTCTAGCCTTCACTGCGCCGATCCCATGTAATTCAAATGTTGTTGGATTCTTTTTCAGATGAAGCTGCTGAACTAGTTTCTTAGATATAAAGGATACTTGTGATCCTGGATCTATTAATGCTCTTGCTTGGACTTGAAAACCTTGCTCGGAAATAACTTTGACTTGAGCGGTGGCTAACAGGGTCTGATTAGCTGTTAAAGTCGAATGTGATGCAAGATTGGTTTGAGCACTTAGTGTTGAAGATGCTTCCGTCGGACCAGGTCTGTGGATTGCTGTATGATGCTTTCTCCCGCACTTCAAGCACTTTTTCGTTGACACACATTTATTAACCATATGGTTTCCTAAGCAATTGTAGCATAATTTCTTTCGTTTGATGATTGCCAATTTTTTCTCAATTGGTTGATTGACAAACGCTGGGCAATTAAGTATATGGTGATCTCCGGTGCAATTTGAACATTTCTTGAAATTATTCTGATCTCCAGATGCATAATGAACCATAGTTACTCGTGGATTATGTTGAGAACCAGGATTTCTCGATTTTTCAACTGCTTGGAGAGTTAACAAACGACTCATAAGAAATTCCATAAAGTGTTTCCATGACGGAGGGTCTTTAGTTGAGCCCAAATGCAGTTCCCAAGCTTTCACTGATTCTTGATCCAAACGTTGAACTGCAATGAAGACCAAGAAATCATCCCAAGTTTCCACTGGTCGTCCGAGTGTCTTCAAAGTTCGATAGATCTGTGTAATTGTTGAATACAAACTTTCCATCTCCGCAGCAGATTCTTTTGTCATTTTTTTAATCATAAATAATGATTGCAATGCGGAGTTTACTAATAACCGCTTATTCTCGTAGAATGAAACTAGCGCATCCCATGACTTTTGAAAATTGTCAGTTGTTAACACCGTATTTTTTAAGAAATTAGCTGCTGGACYAGTAAGGCTTTGCTTGAGATAATGAAGTTTCCATATAACAGACAGGGAACTATTATTGATGACCATAGAATTAAACAAATCTTTGAATTGCAGCCATTCCGATGGAACGCCATTAAATTTCGGTAAATCCAGACTTGGAAGACGTGGCCCATAATGATGAACAGGAAATTCTAGATGACTGGTTACTGATGAACTACTCTCGGCTTGCTTTCGTTGATCATACAAAATATTCATCCTTTCCAACGCTTCTAAATAAGTATCGTAGGTGGCACGGTAAAGGTCTTCCTTGAAATATGAAAGTCTCAATACTTCTTCTTTTTTGTCTTCTCTTAATCGTCTTATTGCAATTTTTATAGCATCATGAGTAACAGAAAATTTGCTCCAAGTGTCTTGCAATGCCGTTTTTCGAGCTTCCACTCGTTGAAGAGAAATATTTTCTTCTCCGACACGAGTTAAGTTGGTGATGGCATCGTTGATAATTTTGATGAGCTCCATCTGCTCWTCAACATGGTTCTTCACATGACTGACTCTCATCTTGATATTGTTTCAATAACCACGCTCTGCTACCAAAAAATGTTAATTAGTCAAGTATGAAGAATGAATTTCCAATAAAGATTTTAATGAGTAAATTGAATGACGCTACTGCGCTTATTAATACAGTCTTAAGAATTTTAATTATGAGCATTTTAATCTTATCGACAAGATATTTCCAATGTAGTACGTTTGGGATCAGGTAAAATTTCTGCTCACTCAGTGGATAAACGTTAGGCTAAAAACAGAAATGTAGTTATTTGTTGAAACTTAATGAGGAAAAAGACTTCTAGAATGTATTCAAGGGAGCTTGCAGGCATATCCTACAAGCTGGCGGGTTGACTACCCTTGAATACAATGATTTTCTAGTCTAGAAGCCACTTATAGGTGATGTAACAAAGAAAACTTGTAGAATGTATTCAAGGGAACTTGCAGGCATGATCTACAAGCTGGCGGGTTTACTACCCTTGGGTATGATGATTTTCTAAGGAGTGTACCGCAAGGGAACTTGTAGTCAGCCTAGCAAGGTGCGAACTCAGACCGAACCTTGAACACGATGATTTTGTGTAACATACTCAGAAAAGAAGACTTCTAGAATGTATTCAAGGGAACTTGCAGGTGTGACCTTACAAGGTGCGGGAGTTACCAAACCTTGGGTACGATGATTTTCTAAGGAGTGTACCACAAGGTTACTCGTAAGGCAACCTACAAGCTGGCG